ATGGTTATGGCTTTTTTCTGGGATTTCCCCCCTCAGTTCTTAGTGGTGATCTATCACGTTACTAATCATATCCAAATCTCCTTGGCTTTATTCAAGATCAACTAAGATTGATTGGATATTGCTACTTGCCTCAACGTTTTGAGGTCCTCAGCAACTTGACATGTTATTAAGGACTTAGAAAATTGGGAATATTATAATTGTATTCCTTGGAAATTGTTGAGATCTGTGAATAGCAGCCCCATGTGTTTAACTGCAAAACTGCAACTGGCAGTTTTTTTCCCCCGTAAGGGAGGTGCACTGCACTGGCCCTGCACTGAATCTTTCCTCCTGCTCTGGTCATTGGGTCCCCCTCCACAGGAAGGAGAATGGAAGAGCTTCCTGTTGATGTTCTACCTTGTGCCAAATGACAGAATTGCAATTGTCCCGCCAAGTTGATCATAGAATCCTCTATAGAGGAGAAGGAGGCAAATGACTCTGTTCCTTTTGTATCTTGTGTGAGCAATAAGATGTTCCTGAATTCATTTCTGTTCTATTCCTGTGTCCTAGATTATTTAGCACCAAATACTAGATTCTGGTTCTCAGTTCCTGGGTTATCTCAAATAGCTGCTTTAACAGCCCAACACTGTTTTGATTGGATTTGCATATTGCACTTCATCCATATGTCTTTTTTTATTTTGTATATTCAGTGACAGGTCATTTTGGTTTCTAAACCCTGCTTTATAGTTTAGCATTATTGCCAATCCAGCCAATTATGGCTTATTTAATGAACCAAATTAAGCAAGCTATAGCTTAGAAGACTAAGCGAACCAGGCCAGAATTATTTTGCAGTGTATGATTCTGTTGGAAGGAATTCAGTTCATTCTGTTCCTTTTTTTTACTCTGTCCTTGCAATCAAAAAGAAAATCAGTTTCACCCCCTTCCTATCAGCCCACCTTCAAAATGATGAATGAGTTGTTTCTTTTTCAGAAGCTGAGATTGCAAACCATTAATGCCAAACTTCTTGGCAAATAGCCAGCAAACAAAAGTCCTTCTTGGGTGTCGCTCAAGCTGTTGTCGCAAGAATTGTGCAGTACCTGTTCAGAAGTGGGTTACTGATTTGCGGCCTCATTGGGTCAGAATAATAAGTTGTTAGAGCTGGCTTCTCTTTGTACTGTCTTTGTCTGCTTCAGGGATGACCTTGACCTGAAAATGATGGATAAAGCAGCTGTAAGGTAGATGGCAGCATATGGGTTACAATAATAGGGAGAAAACTGCAGATTTTTTCCTGCACCACCCTTCACTAAGCAGGCATCCTCTGGTTGTGATGAACTATAAGTCCCATCATTTTCAGCCATTATAATAAAAGACATTTGAAGGGCATCAGTTTGAAGAAGGCTGGGCTATACCTTAGTTAATACCTGTCTTTCATTTTGCTTGGTGATACAGGAAGTACCATAAGGTATACCTGAGAGCCATATTCCAAACATAACTTAGGGCACCAGGGTGGAGTAGGTTGAAGTAGGGTTTCCACTATTCTCTGGTTGTTCTTCTTTTTCCAAACCTCTTTTGTTCTGCATGTTGCTGTTGCATTTCTTGGAATGCAAGAAAATTGTGGGGTCTCTGACTAGTATGATCCATACATGATCCATCTATGTCTTTTTTTTGGCTTCAACTCATTATGCATATTGACACAATTTTGAGGTTCTCTATGAGAAATAATCTATATATGTGGAAAAATGTTAAAGAGCAGATCTAAGAGCTGTATGGTAAAGTTTCTTCTGAGTAACCCAGTATGTTTTAATTTTTAAAAAGGAATCTAAGTAAGCAGCCCTTTATGCAGAATTGCAGTTTGTAGCCAGAAAGGGTATGTTCTTCTGGCTTGCTCCCAGAAGTTGTGGCTGTTCCAACACTGGAAGCTTTTAAGAAGAAATTGGGCAGCCATTTGTCTGAAATTGTATAAGGTCTCCTGCTTGTGCAGGCAGTTGAACTAGAAAACCTCCAAGGCCCCTTGCAACTCTTTTATTCTGTTATGCTCTTACAATATCATGAGAAAAAGAAGATATCTAAAGAAGGTATTTCTGATTTTCTTTCCAGCAGTTACAAAAGTAGTGATCACTATTCCCTTCCAAATTACACTGTGTGGCCCAGATCATCTATCTAGAAAGGTGTCTTATTTAATAGGGGAACTCAACAAACGAACACAGGATGATGATTCCGGTCCAAAATTTGGCTTTATCTATGTATAAAATCTAAACTATGAGATTCGTAAATCAAAACTGATTTTTTAGTAATATGGACTGAACTTTCTTCAACGAACAATTCCATTCCATGATTCATATTGTATTGATCACGTGAACCTTTTTAGCTCAGATTCAATAGTGATTCTTAGCCCATTGTGATACGTATATATCAGATTATTCATAATTTATCATTGATATTTTGGAAAGTAATTTTAAAATGTGAACATATAGGAAATGGTAAAGATTTTTTAAATTTCATATTGGTTTTTTTTCAGGGTGCAGTTTCGCCATATATTTTTTCTTTAGGGTAATTAGTAAAGATGCCAAAACTAACTGATTTGATTAGAGACAATGGACTAGACAGCTTTATTAGAGACTGGAAGCCATTTGTGGACTTTCTACGTGTTAAATACAATAACAGATGGTTGACAGAGGGATTTGAAGATTAGTGTAATATTTGGGCTAACCTGTTGAGTGTTTCTTTTTTTCTACACATATTATGATTAGATGCTGGGTCAATGGGATTGTTAGATACATAGATATATTTTCTCATCTGGAATATTTGTTTATTTAATATAGTATTTCTGTCAAATAAAGATGGGAACATTTATAACTATATGTAGACTCGTAATATAAGGGGAGGAGAACCCATCAGTTTTTTTCTATTTTTCAGGTTCCAGTTGGGGTAGATTCTTTATGTTCAGTGTTAGATATATTTGACATGGATTTTTTTTCCTCCCCCCCCCACTTTTTCTACATATATTTTTCTTTTCTTCTCTGCTAGTGTTGGATGTTTGTTTTTCTGTTTCTCCATCTTGTATTTTATTATTGTTGACAAACAAAAATAAACACGTTAAAAAATATTTTTTCTTTGAGGTGATTTCGACTTAATGAGTTGAAAGAAATATAGACAAAAGAAATGGTGTGTCCATTTTGATCTTCCCTCCACAAACACCACTAGAAAGCCATTGGTTCCTAAACTGTCACATACTACATCTTGGTTTGGCCAAGGCAGTTCAGCCATGTTGGGCAAACACCATATTTTCCAGCCCAACTTACCTCATAGGAGTGTTGTGTGGATAAAACTAAAAGACACCCATATGTACGTTCTTGAGTTTCAAGAGAAAAACCAGCATATAAATCTTGTAATTGGTTAGTACAGGTAGTCCTTGAGTTACGACTAAAATTGAGCCCTAAATTTCTGTTGCTAAGTGAGACATTTGTTAAGTGAGTTTTGCCCCATTTTATGACTTTTCTTGCCACAATTCTTGAGTGAAACACTGCGGTTGTTAAGTTAGTCACACGGTTGTTAAGTGAATCTGGCTTTCCCATTGACTTTGCTTGTCAGAAGGTTACAAAAGGTGATTACATAACTCCAGGACACCGTGACCATCCTAAATATGAGTCAGTTGCCAAGCGTCTGAATTTTGATCACATGACCATGGGGGATGCTGCAATGGTCGTAAGTGTGAAAAACGGTCATAAGTCACTTTTTTCAGTGTCATTGGAATTTTGAATGGTCACTAAATGAACTGTTGTAAATCAAAGACTACCTGTAATGGGAGGACCCCATTAGAATCATTACTAAAGCCAATGCATTTAAAAATCTGTCCTGTAAAATGAATGGAATGTTATAAGAATAAAAAGCAGTTTCTTCAAAAGATGTAAACTAGTTGGAGTATATACACTCTGGTATATACAACATATAAAATAAATTAACTTGATATAGAAAAATAATACATTACAATATGATTCCATAAAACATGGTCAATCAGGAGAATCTCCAATAATATGGTATCTTTTTTTTTTACTGTTGTGTTTTTCTATGTATTATTTAAGTACAGCAGTTTGCGTATTATGTATTTATTCCTGCTCAGAGCCTGTGGATACCTGCTGGTCGTTTTTATTTATTTTTCAGATTCTTTTTGTGTTCCTCTGCATTTTTGCTGCTGTGCATCATTTTCCTTCTTATAACCTTCTTTTTGTCTCAGAAGGTATAACAGCACCTGGCTCACTTTCTCTGCGTGCACAAGCTAAGCAGAATCAGGTCTGGTTAGTAATTGGATGGGAGACATCAAAAGACAAGCAGGTCCCTAAGTAAGCCTGGGAAGTTGTAAAACATCTCGGAAGGCAGCCCTGCAAGATGTTGCACCTGCCTGCTCAAACAACAGCCAGCTTTACTCAAAACAGGCATCTCTGAATTAATTGATAGCAATTAAAAACAAGGATGCTTGCTGCTCCTTAAGGCAACTACTGCCTGATTCATACTTGAGCCGCTTTCTGAATTGACACATTTTCTGGGTTTGCATAACATACTGTACATCAACAAAATGGGTTTTGCACAGCCGAGGGGAAAAGCCTAATCAAGACAAAATACGTTGGGCGATTTGTCGCTTTTGTTTTGTTATATAGGCTTATTTTAGCACATGTCACTTTTCCTACATCTCCCAGTTCAAAACAGCCAGGAAATCGCATGGGCAACCTTCAAAAAAAAATAATCACCTTTAGTTTTTTTAAAGGGATTCTAAAAGGGGCTGAGGGGGGTGGGTGGGAGGAAAGTGGGGGGGGGGGTGAAGGAGAGCGCAATTTGCCTTTTCCCCCTTGATGGGCTCTTTATTCTACCCTAGTTTAATCCGTGGTGGGAAACACACCCTCTCTTGTCTCTGTGTGCGTGTGCATGAATGAATGAATGAATGGGCGAAAGATTTCCCGCCCTCCCGCCTTGATTTCCGCTGCAGCGCCGGGGCCCGAGAACCCGAGAGACGAAGCTTTTCAGAACGCTCTGCGAAACGGAGCGGCTCGGTTGCAAACAGCTGGAACTGCTGCCCCTCCCTTCCCTTTTCTCCTCTCCACGGGCCCGCGCGGCTCCTTCCCCTTTTGTTCCAGGCAAAAGGCTGGTTTAGCGTAGCTGTGGCATTAAGCGCCGGGGAGGCCAAAAGCGTCGCTTGGGCTGCGAGGGGGCTCTTTGCAAGCAGCAGCAGGAGAAGCGGGACCCGCCAGTGCCGGCCGGATCTCCCTTCTTTCCCCTGCTTGGAACCTCGTCGCCGAGCCGAGCCAAGCTGAGCTCACCCGGACGGACAATAAGCAAGCCTGAGCATCCTCGTTCCTGGCGGGCATCCCTTTGCATCTCGTCGCCCGCCGCTCCGGCTGCCTTTGGCGGATGCCGCTCCTTTTGCATCCGAAGGGAGTGGCAGGCGCCGGCGCGCCTTCCACGGAGCAACGCCGCCCCCGGCGTCCTTTCTGTTAAAAGAGAGAGCCGGGCGCGCTTCGGGGGCCATGGCCTAAATCAGGCCGGGGAAAAGGAGAAAAGCTCAGCTTTTTATTTTTTTTTGGGGGGGGGGGGCGTTCTCCGTCCGGACTGTTGACCGGGTGGAAGGAAGGAAGGAAGGAAGGAAGGAAGGTAAGACGGGAGCGGGAGGAGGGGGGGCAGCTGGGCGGGTTGCAAAGCTACCGGGGTGGGGAGGGGGATGGCGGAGGGGGAGGGGGGAGAGAGAGGCGTCTAGCAACAAAGGAGGGGGGGGAGGATGATGGGGGGTGGGGTGGCATGGAGGGGGTGCAAGAGGAGTCGCAAAATGGGGGTGGGGACGATCAAAATGGGTAAGGGGCGTGCATAAGCGCACCAGCGTGCCTACCGTCCCTGTCTCCTAATGTTTTCTTTTATTCGTATCCTTGTCATGTATTTATAATTATGTTTACACTCGTATCTGTCATAAAAGACATGCTTGACGGAAAATACAAATAAAACCAAATAAATAAATACATGATTGTTGGGCTCTCGGGGGTCCACAGTTTGGGTGGTCCTCCTACACCCCCTTCCCCTGTCAGCAAATGTCACAGAGAGGATGCAGATGTTGGGGGGGTGTGTGGAGGGGGAGGGAGGAGAAGAGTCACCCCCTCTTTGAGGGGGGAAAGAAGGGGAGGGGTGGGACCGGTGGTGCCCCCCCCACTAGAGAGTTCAATGGCTGTCCTTCCCCCCCCCCCCCCGTTGTGCATCCTTGTGTCTGAGGTAAGGTTGGGGGTGGGTGGGGGTGGGTATGGCTGGCACCTGGCCATGATTGAATGAAGATTCAGCCAGCAACCCAGCCCACTTCTGAGCATGGGGTGAGGAAGAGGATGTCATGTGGTCAGCAGCTGGCTGCAATTTCTGTGGGGCCAAGCAGGCCAGGGTTTTGAGTCAGAAAGATTTGAGGTGGGGGGGAGGGTAGAAAGGATTCTGTGCACAACCTTCTTTGCACCCCTCCTTTTAACCGCCAGCTGGCGTTGTGCTTGGTGTGTTTATCTGACATCTACTCGTGATGGGGATATGTTTGTGTAGATGGGAGTGGAGCAGGGGAGGATGCTTTAGCCTTCTCCCCCAAATGCACTCGGATATAAAAGCTTAGAAGAGGGAGGTTCATGAGTTTAAGTTTCTTCTGAGACGCAAAGTGTAAGAATGCAGGAATGAGGTTTTATTTTTTTTAAAAAGAATGAAAATAAACAACAGTGGGAGTGGGACCTATTCCCCATCTTCCTGAAAATGTTTACTCACTTGTACTGTATACAGTATAAAGTACTGTAGAGGTACTTTGCGTCTGTCAGATGAGAGATTGGATAAGGATGCTTGTAAATAAATATTTGGAGTAACAGAGGGGTAGGATAAGTGAGGGGTGACATTTAGTCATAGGTCCGTCATATTTGGGATAGGACTGCTGAACTTTCCTTGCTGGCTTTGAGCAACAAGTAGAAGATATGACAACCCTCTGAGCATAGGCAGAATGCTTTCTTGTTATTGTTAGGAACCTGGAAGGCACCTCATACAGGTAGTCCTCAAGTTACAACTATTAGCAACTGTTCAAAGATACAACGGCACTGGGGGGAAAAGTGACTTACAACCAGTCCTTGTGTTTAAACTGTTGTAGCATCCACAAAGTCTGTGATCAAAATTTGAGTGCTTTGGCAACCAGCATGCATTTAAAAATTTAAGGAGCCTTGGTGGCACAGTGGACTAAGTGCTGTTAAAGTAGCACTTAGCTGCCAGCTGCCTGCAATTACTGCAAGTTCAAATCTCACCAGGCTCAAGGTTGACTCAGCCTTCCTTTCGAGATAGGTAAAATGAGGACCCGGATTGTGGGGGCAATAAGCTGACTTTGTATAAAAAAGAACACCACTTGGGGGAGGGGGCAAAAGCCCTACTAAGCAGGTATATACAAAAGTATGAAGGCTATTGCTTAACGCATTGTAAGCCGCCCTGAGTCTCCAGAAAAGGGCGGCGTATAAATCGAACTAATAAATAAATAAATAAATAAATAAATAACAAGGTTGCAGCATCCCGGGGTGATGTGATTGACATTTGCAACCTTCCCAGCTGGCTTCTGGCAAGCAACATCAATTCGTGACGTTGGATTCACTTAATGACTGCATGATTGACGTAACAACTGCAGTGATTTGCTTAACAACCATGGCAGAAAAGTTAGTAAAATTAGTCACAATTCATTTAACAACTACCTTGCTTAGCAATGAAAATACTGGTCCCAATTACTGTAGTAAGTCGAGGGCTACCTGTACGCCTACATTATGTTCACTTGAATAAGACTGAGTTGCCCTTGAACATGTGCTTCAATAAAAGTGGGGCTGTGTTGGAGATACTCTTTGCCCTGGGTGATGCAAAGCTCGCGCAAAATACAGCATGGGTGCATTGTTATTCTGGCCACTGTTGTAAAAAGGACCTGCAGAGTATAGATAGTCCTTGACTTACAACAGTTCATATAGTGACCGTTCAACGTTACAACGGTACTGAAAAAAGTGACATAACCGTTTTTCTCACTTATGACCTTTGTAGCATCCCCATGATCATGTAATCAAAATTCAGATGCTGGGCAACTGGTTCACACTTATGACCAAAGGTCATGTGAGCACCCTTTGCAATCTTTTGACAAGTAAAGTCAATGGGGAATCCAGATTCACTTAACAACCGTGTTACTAACTTATCAACTGCAGTGATTCACTTAACAACTGTGGCAAGAATGGTCGTAAAATGGGCCAAAACTCCCTTAACAAATATCTCACTTAAGAACAGAAATGTTGAGCTCGATTGTGGTTGTAAGTCGAGGACTACCTGTACATACCAACAGATATTAAAGTCCATGGACCAATGTCATCCTGAAAGTTGACTGTTTTTATTTATTCTCTAAAAGGCTGTTTTTATTTATTCTCTAGAAGTGCACAACTTGAGAACTAACCTCATTTTCTCTGGTCATGACATTGCTGTGGGAAGGCCGTATCTTGAATCATGATGCTACGGCTGTTTCCCTTTATGGATTTCCAAGCATGACCCCTTGACCACTTTTAAAATGTGGGCTTGGTATGTCGGTGGGTTCAATTATCCATCTTGATATTGCAAAAAAAACCTTCCTTGTATTTTTTTTTAATGAGCAACCAGCTCTCAGGTCTCAGAGTGTGCATTTCTGCAAGGTGATGTGGGATGTCTGTATACTTTTCTTTTAAGTTAAAATAATAATAATAATAATAAAGGCATCAGGAGTGTGGCAGTTTGCTGTGAAATCCCTTGTTGCAAACCCTGATCTGTGGATGACACACTTTGAAGAATTTTGAAATGTTTTTCCACCTTTTCTTTTTAAAGTTACCCTATTTCGAGGGTTATTTTTTAAAAAAAAGGCTTTGTTTGCTTTAGCTTCAAAATGATAGGACCGTGTGCTGCCAGTTTTTAACAGATACAATCAAAACCCCATTCTAAATTTACTCAGTGTTTTTCTTTGTTCCACAGACCCATCGAAATCTGATTAGGCAAGATGAAGGGAACAAATTAAGTACAGCCTGTTTTGACTTTTGTCAAATATTTGAGTTGCTTTATGAACTTGATTTAACAGAACAGAACGACAGAGTTGGAAGGGACTTTTGAGATCTTCTAGTCCAACCCCCTTCTCAAACAGGAGACCCCGGGTGGGGAAAAATAGGACTGTCTAAAAGCAATCTTATACTGTGTCTTTTTTGGGGGGTGGGAAAACTAAGTCACTTTAAAGTTCATGGAACATACTTATGAGCAGATGCAATTAATATTATGCTATTTAGTATGTATATAGACTTGTATGTCTCCAAGATCTCTTTATACATTATGATGAGCTGTATGAATCTGTGGCAAGCACTAAGGATCATGGGAAGAATATCAGAGATGTCACATTTGCTCCAATAAACCGGTTTTATGCTAAGAAAGGATTTTCTGCTACAACAGGCTTTATTCTCTAATCATGAAGTCTGGCAGGCTTTATACAAAGCCATACCTACCATTTGATTAGCAAGAGTTATAGCAAATGAGAATATTTCCATTTATGTTTAAAGTTGATTTCCTTTTTTTTTTTTAATCCAAGGTGTTGGGTTGGGTTATGTTGAATTCCTCTCAGGTGTCTGCTGTCCACAAACGGGCCAGATCCAACCTTGCTCATTCTTCTAGAAGTTGCATACACCTAGAACGCTAATGATGAACATATCACAGTGACATGCCATGCTATTTTTCATGGCACACTAGGCCTCTGGAGCAGAGGTGGGTTTCAGCAGGTTCGGACCAGTTCTGGAGAACCGGTAGTGGAAATTTTGAGTAGTTCGGCGAACCGGTAAATACCACCTCTGACTGGCCTCGCCCCCATCTATTCTCTGCCTACTGAGTTCCAGCTGATTGGGAGGAAATGGGGATTTTGCGGTAACCTTTCCCTGGATTGGGGAGGGAATGGTGATTTTACAGTATCCTTCCCCTGCCATGCCCACCAACCATGCCACGCCCACCAAGCCACACCCACAGAACCGGTAGTAAAAAAATTTAAAACCCACCACTGCTCTGGAGTATTGTGTGTGTGTGTGTGTGTGTGTCTTTACCTCAAGTTATTTATAAAAATAATACTAGAGGGATATAAATAAATAAAATCATTGACCCTGAAGATGAGTGCATGGGATAATAATTGTGATATATTATTTAATTTGAAAGTATATCTAAAAATGGGGTGGAATATATTATATACCATTTTTCATTTTCGCTAAATAAATTCCAAAATGGTTTACAATTAAAAACATGATTTCAAAACACAATAGAACTCCAAAATCTATGTTAGGTTGAATCCTGGTGGATTCAGAGACCTGCTGGACAGGTCTCTGCAGTTTTCTTCACAAAGTTTTTCAAAAGTGGTTTGCCATTGTTTTCTACCTAGAGAGAATGACTAGCACAAGGTCACTCAGTTGGCTTCATGGCTAAGGCGGGACTAGAAAGTTTCTAACCTGATGCCTTAAACACCACACCAATTTGGCTCTTATTGCATTACATACATTCATACATAGCTAATTCTCAAGAATTTTATATATGTAGAAGTATCTCCTTCTCTTGCATCTTTAAAACTATCCCAAAATTATGATTTT